TGCTGAGAGTGGCGATACCAGGAGGGTGGAGGGAGGGTGGGGTGGAAAGGGGGAACCTATTACAAGAATCTATATACAACCTCCTCCCTGGGGGATGGACAACAGAAAAGTGGGTGAAGGAAGATGTTGGATAGTGTAAGATATGACAAAATAATAATAATTTATAAATTATCAAGGGTTCATGAGTGAGTGGGGAACGTGGAGGGAGGGAAAAAATGAGGAACTGATACTAAGGACTCAAGTAGAAGGCAAATGTTTTGAGAATGATGATGGTAACAAATGTACAAATGTGCCTGACACAATGGATGGATGGATGGTGATAAGAGTTGTACGAGCCCCCAATAAAAAGATTTTTTTTAGAAGAAAGAAAGTGAACAGATCTCATTGATTAGCAAGCAGAAGACAACTCTTAGGCTAGTGGAAAAGGAGAGGTGAGGAATGATAGAGCGCTGAGCAAACCAAGGTCATGAAGATCCCCAAATAGAGGCTCTGGGAAATGTTTGCTGGAGCAAGGTTCTGGAAAAGAAGACACAGCCCTGGCTTCGAGGACTTCCACACCGAGATGCTCCACTCCAGCACTCTACAAGGCCAAGGCAGTACCAGTGACCACAAGGAGACAGGAAGCCATGCAAGGCTGTGTCACCTGCAGATTACATATTGTTAATAAACTCTCCTCCAATCCTGAAAAAAAGAAAAGAAAATCCCAGCATCTAAGAAATCAAATGATGTAGTGAGGAAATGGTCAAAACACCCTTTTAAAGTTCTGAAAAGCAAGCATGTCACTTGGAGGATGAAGGTGCTCTTCACCTAAGTCATGGTATTTCATTGGTCTTAAATACATCCAAAACCTGAGCAGTGAGCACGAAGACTGAGGAAGAGTGTGCGTCTTTGGATTACGGCGTTGCTTGACAATATGAAGTACACCACCGATGGCTCGCAGACCGAACAAATCTGTCTTGGAAGAAATAGAACCAGGAGTGCTCCTTGGGAGTGAGGATGGTGAGGTGAAATTTCACATTCTTTTTCCAGAGGGACTGGCCCCTCGAGAAGGGCATCGTTCTTAGTAAAGAGGAGGGTCAGGAGACCAGAGGAAGGCCCTCGAGGAGGTGGGTTGACTCCGTGGGTCACTGGGTTCAAATGTAGCAGGATTTGGAGGATGATTCTGTTGCGTCCAGTGTCCCTATGAGTTGGAACCAACTCAGTGGCATCTAGCCTAAGGTGACCAGATGTTAGCATTGGTAAAGCGGGACAAAAGCAGGACACCATTGATAAAACTCAGATACTGGCGAAATAGCCACATGGCAGCCGAAAACTGTATACCCTTGTCGTGTATAGCTTGTCGTGCATTCTTTCCAAAATTCAGGACTTTTTAAAAATGCCACGGGACACGGGAAAAATTGCTAAAAATCGGGACTGTCCCACCCAAAGCGGGACATCTGGTCACCTTAATCTAGCCACAACAGCATCCCTCATTGTCAGGTGCCGTTGAGCCGGTTCCGACCCATAGTGAGCGTATGCACAGCAGAGAAACACTGCCTAGTCCTGTGCCATCGCTTAGAATGTTGTATTGTCAGTGCGCCCACATTTCCTCTCTTCTTCAAGCTAAGCGAATGCCTGGCTGTGTTGCTGTGTTATAATTGTTGTTGTTGTAGGCGTCATTGTGTTGTTATTGTTGTTGTTCGGTTTCATTGAGCCAGTGTTGACCCATAGTGACCCTATGCACAACAGAACAAAACACTGCACCATCCTGCACCATCCTCACCACTGTGCCTGTGCCTGAGCCCATTGCAACCACGGGTGTCAATCCATCTGGTTGAGGGCCTTCCTCTTTGTCGCTGCCCTCCACTTTACCATACATGGTGTCCTTCTCCAGGGGCTGGTCTCTCCTGACAATATGTCCAAAGTATGTAAGACAAAGTCTTGCCATCTTGCCTCTAAGGAACACTCTGGTCATACTTCTTCCAAGACAGATTGGTTTGGCCTTGTAGCAGTCCATGGTCCTTTCAATTTTGTTTAATTCACCACAGTTCAAATGCATTGAGTCTGCTTTAATAGAAAGGCATAAGGTACGTTTCCTGGAAATATCCCTTGGCTTCTCTTCTGAGTTAAAATAAAGGTTCGGCAATCTCAAGCATGCACCAGGTGTGAGTGGAGAGTCAGGAAGACCTTCTATTTTTTATCGTCTTCTTGATACACAAGTCCTTCAAGACCCTGCCCCTTATTTCTCACTTACAGATAAGATGGCGCACCACAAGGGCTGGCAAACGTTTCCTGCAAAGGACCAGCTAGTGCATCGCTTAGGCTTTCAGGCCACACAGTTGTAAATATTTGTTGTTGTAGCATGAAAGCAGCCATAGAGAATATGCAAACGAAGGACCGTGGTGGGGCCAATAGACCTTCGGTTATCAACCCTGAATTTTGAATTCCATGTATTATTCTTGTACTGCAAAATAGTATTAAGTTTTCTTTTGCTTGCAGGTTGCATGACAATCAGAGCGGCCTACCCTTGGCCTATGCTCATGGTCTGCCAACCTGGTATAGATCAAGGAAGCATTCTTAGAATGGCTGTGCTAGTCCTGGCCAAGAGGACCTCCTACGTCAGGGTCCTTAATCTAGCTGCTGGGAAACCCTTCTCAGTCACCAAAGGCCCCTGCTCGCTTTGTTTCATCACAGGATACGCCTGACTCATCTAGCACGCTTGGCCCTGACAAAGAGGCAGTGAGCATATATTTGTTGGGTGGGGGAGGAGGCCAGCCACTCACACCTGCATTCCTCGGGGATCCTTGGGGAGAACAGAGACATTGCAAGGGTTGAGGAGTGGGGAGACCTGGACAGCAGAGAGCCCACAACAAAAGGGGACTCTGGGATCTCCATAAGCATGACCTCTCCTAGGTGACCTTCTTGGTTCCAGCCAGCAAGTGCTGCCTGGACCTCTGCCCCCAAACATATGGCCTCTGAGCAATGGCCTTAGTTGGCCAGGCCATCGAGCTCCCTGGTAAGATTCTCCAGAACATTCTCAACATGGCCCTGTTTACCTCTCCAGTTTCCTTTCTCCCCGCACACGCTGTGCCTGAGTCACATCGGACTGCTCACTTGCCAGCTCCCCAGGTTTGTTTCCCTTTTCTGGGTGCCCAGATACCGTCCAAGCTCCATCCTCTTTTGCTTAAGCCTCTCAGGGTGCCTATTGATTACTTGCAACCCAGAAGGTTGAATAAGGTACGGTGCTCTCAAAGCTGGACACCCTCTTAATCCTCTATTGATGAGTCCTTGGAATTACGGTCTAAAAGCATCTCCTGGTCACTATCAAGGTTGGAAAAAGAGTTGACACACTTTTCCTGTCCTGATGTTGAATTCCTCAACTGTGCCGCTCCTAGTGCAATAGATAAGACTAGGGTTGGAGTCGGGGAGGCCCAGTTGGGACTGCGGTCTCTTTTGTCATAAGGGGTAGGACCATCCCTCCTCAGCGGTCTGCAGGATACCTGCACCATTGGCTCTCAGTGTGCCAGTCCTCCTCAAGGCATTTTATAATGCTGGTGGGTTTGTCCTAAGATGACCAGGTGTAGGAGAGAGAACTCAATCGTCCTCTTTGTCTAGCTACGGTACATCTCTATGGGCATGGTATCCTCCTAAAGTTTCTGAAAAACTGGGCTTAAGGAAGTAGCTGGGAATGTGACTGCCTCTTTAGGATACACATGCACGTACATACACTCACCCCTCCACACATGCATGAACACAGGCCCATGGGAGACGCTGTTCTCGGGTCTGCTCTGCAAAGACATGCTTCTTACCGAGTGCTGGATGATCCGAGGCGGCTCTGGGCCGGTCAGGGGCGGTGGGGTGGAGGTAGCGGGGTGCCTGAACAGAGGAGACACCTCTGGGGACAGAGTTGACCCCCAGGCCCGTCTGTCTGTCCCCCTCCAGGTGTGGGCCCTGGAGAGCTCCTCCAGGAGGTGCTGTTCCTGCAATGCACATAAAGCCCCCTGGTCTCCCAGGCAGGAAGGCCACAGGAGGGAAAGGAAAGGTACCAAGAGCCCATCTGGTATGGCAGGACTGCCCGGGGCCGGGGGCAGAGGCCGGTCCAGATGGGTAGAGTCGCAGTACATATGGGAGCTGGACTGGCCGACCTTCGAACAACGCTGGACACCAGGCCTCAAGTGTACTTTGAGATCAGCCGGGAGTACCAGCAGCCTCTCAGCCTTCTGGGATTGAACTAGTGTGTAGAGAGGGGCCCTGAGCCATTCAGAGACACCTGTAAGAATCATCTCTCTCTCTAAATCTACCAAATAAGTTGAACTTACGTGTTTCCTCCAGCCCAGAGTCTCTCTTCTCTTTCAAGTATGCCCCAGTTCCCACTCCCACTATGGAGACCTTTCTAGAGCAGCTTCTCACACTCAGCTCCAGGGCTCAGTCCTAGTTCCCACTGCCACCCCGTGCTCCAGAGCCTCCCTTCCCCAGCACTCCCTGGTCTGGAATGGCTGAGGCCCACGGAGTCTTAGAATTCCCCTTTCCTGCAAGATTCGGCCCTTCCTCAACATGCTGCCTTGGATGTGTAGCCAACACAGACTCTTCAGCTGACAAGACCCCTGCAACAACGGGGGCACCACCTGCCTGCATGCAGCACCACCTCTAGGGAGCTGGCATCCCGCCTGTTCCATGGGGAGCCACAGATGCTCAAGAAGCGATGTTCAGTGCCCAGGGAGCTGACTGGGGTCTCTGGTCTGCACTAGCTGGTCTTCACAGTCCCGCTGACCAGAACCGCAGCCCACTGACTGGGGAGGCAAACTTGCTCACAGGAGCTGCCTCAGGCTCCGGCATGGTTGGCAAGAGGTGTTGGCCTACCCAGAGTCTCTGCAGGAGGGCCTTCCTTCTCCTCAGGGCGCTCTGCAGGGGGTCATCCGGCCTGCTCTCCTCCCCTGGAAGGGATGCACTGCTCAGAGATGTGGCCAGCCTTCGAACGCCCCCACCTCCCCTGCACCAGGACCAGGGTGACCCGGAGCCTCAGCAAATGCTTATCCCCAAAGAGGGATTGTGACCAGGGAAACAGGGCTTAGGGGACACCTCTGGGAACCTGTCCATCAGACTGTCTGACTTTGGGAAGGAGTTGCAGAGAACTGATTCCTATGCAGGTTTGGGCTCTCTGCTCCTGCAACTCCCCTGTGGGAAGTCACAGTAGCCCTGCTGACAGGGAGCAGGGCTGTCCAGGGACATGGCATAGTTCACTGAGTCCCAGAAGTCCTGCCTGCAGCAACCTCAGGCCTGTACACTTCTCAGCACCAGGGGTCAAACTTCAGGCTAAGGCTCAGGGAGGGTCAGGCCCCAGCCTCTCTAGCTCTGGGCATAGTGGACCTGCCCTCTGGCTCCATACTGGAGCCCAGCTACATGCCCCCACCCAGCTCCCTTAACCTATTCTGGGACCTTAGCTCCATGGCTCTGTTCTCTCGGGGGCCTCATGGTTAGCTGACATGGCTTGAAATCTTCTTTCTGAATGGGGACCCCAAGCCTGCCTGCTGCCTTTGAATACTCTCTGGAATCTTACAGCCTTGCAAGGGTGCCCAGGCCAGAGGTGTCCTGGCCCATGTCTCAGAAGAGAAGTGCTCCTCTGGGCCTCTCAGTGTTTGCCAGGTGTCTCTGGATCCCAAATCCATCACTGGAAACGCAGTCTTGGCTCTGCCTAGTAGTCTGAGCACCTGACTTCAGGTCATGGGGTGGGTGCCTCCACTCCCACCCTCAGGCTAAGTTTGTGGCTCTGCACTCGCCGACTGGGTCTGAAGCCGATGTGGCCACTTCCAAGCAGGGGAACTGAGTAGGTTTCTTAGCCCCTCTGAGTCTCTGCTTCTCATCCGCGAAATGAGAACACTCAGCTCATTCTGGGTTTACAGACTAAGGATGGTAAGAGTGCTCAAAAGCCTTCCCTGCACAGTGTTCAGGTGTGTGTATGAGAGTGTCTATCTGCATGGGTGAGCATGCATACTGTGTATCTGTGGGGTTCAGTGTGCATGTGCATATGTGAGTACGCATAGTGTGCATGTGTGGGACTGAGTGTGCATGTGCTTGTGTGAGTATGCGTGGTGTGTATGTCTGCGTGTGTAGTTCACAGCTAAACCAAAAAGGCTTCTACCCAGAACGTCGAGGAAACGTATTAAAGATAACCTTGCCAATGATTGGAGGAACGGAGACTGAGCAGTGGTGAGGACTCCCACGGGCAGCCTGTCCCTACCTCCCCTCAGAATGACTGGCTGCATGCCACCTGCTCCCAGGCCTCTTACCTGCCTCAAGGTGTGGGATTTCAGATTCCCCTTCCATGTTCTCACGTTCACGTTCCAGCTTCTGACGGACAAGAGACCATGTCTGACAGGGGACTGGCTCCGGGGAGTGTGAACCGGAGCTAGGCTCACCCACCCGCCTGCCTTTCTCTTCTGCCCATCCGTCCTTCCTCCGGCCCTTCCCATCAACCTTGCCCACCTGCCCTCTCTACTTGCCCTGCCCAGCTGTTGGCTGTGAGCACCTACCCCAAACCACAATGACCCACCTGCAGCCAAATAGCTTGCAGGCCCCACCTGGACCCGGAGCTGAACAAGTGCTCCTGATGGCACCAGACTGCCCCAGACCGGGGGTGGGGGTGGGGTGGGGACTCTGGAGTCTGGGTCAAGAGAAGCTTCTCAAAGGGGGACAAGACAGGCAGGGGCCTGAGGAGCTGCCAGAACCAGGCCCCACTTGGTCACCTACAGGGACGGATCGGAGAGGAAGAAAGACCATGAGAAGTCTGGCCAGCCAGGCCGTCTCCATAGCAGCGGCCATGGCTGCCCTGTGACGCAAAGGTGCTAGAGCTGGCGAGACTAGAGCAGCGCTTCTCAACCTGGGGGTCACGACCCTGCCGATGCATAACAATATCAAAAGGACAGTGAGGAAGTAGTCATGAGAATCATGTTATGGTTTGGGGGGGGGGGGGCTCACCACCACCCAAAGAACTGTATGTGTTAAAGGGTCCGGCATGCGGAAGGTTGAGAACCACTGCCATAGATGAAGGTGCTGAAAACAAGAAATGTTGATTGTCTTGGTCTTGACCTTATTACTTAGAGACTTGACCTTATTACTTAGAGAATTGTTGCCTAACGTGTTAAGATAGTGATGGAGTCAACACTTCCTCTTGTCAGGAAGAGAAGTACCTCACTTGTGAAGGAAAATCTCCAACCTTATATCTCCATTTCCGTCCATCCCATCCACAGCCACATCAACTACATCCATCTCCATACCAACTAGATAGAAAATCGCCAACAACAGAAATCAATGTGTATACATAGTTATAGTTCCAATAATGTCATAAACTTGTAGCCCAGTCTCACACAGCATGCTTTAAAGGCAATGGTTCTCAATCTGTGGGTCGTGACCCCTTTGGGGTTTGAACGACACTTACACAGGGTTGCCCAATTCAACAGTAGCAAAATGACAGTTCTGAACTAGCAGCAACAATAATGTTATGGTTGGGGGGTTCCCACCACATGAGGAACTGTCTGAAAGGGTCACAGCAAGAGGAAGGTGGAGAGCCACTGTGCTAAGGGACCATAAAGAGGACGCGGAAACCATACGACGTTCATCATGGCAGGAGCCCACAGGGAAGCAGGATTGCCCCTGCAGGCAGTCGGCCCCAGGCAGGAAGTCGAGGGGCGTGGCCTCTGCTGCCCTGGTTCCACGGACCTCGAGGTCGAGCTCCCTAAGAGGAGCTCCTAGGAACACGGCTACCTTCTCCAAGAGCTTGAGTGTCAGGCGGGTCATCTGGTCGGCCACCAGTGAGTCCACCATCACGGAGTCCTTGGGAGACACTTTCTGGAAGGCTGCGCTCCTTCTTCAATCCTCTGTGACCTACAGGAAAGACCCTTTCAGACGGCTGCCAACACACCCATTACCACCTGGAACCAGCAGCGCCCAGCCCGTTTTTCTCCCGGGGCTGGTCAGGCCATCACAGGCCGCTTCCTTTCAGACGCCTGGACAGAGTGAGCCAGCACTGGCCTTTGCTAGATCCGGAGATGGGGAGGGGACAGCCCTGGTTGCTAGGTTTCTATTGAGAGCCCTCGTCTAACCCAGTCCGTTGCCAGGTAGCCGTTATCTATAAACACTGATCCCCAGGTGTGGCACTGCCAAGGCTCCCTGGAAAAGCCACAGTGGGCAGAACTGGGGTTGGAGGAGCAAGGACACTTGGGGTTGTGTGAAGAGGAGGAGGGACAGTCCCGTGCTGTAGTCCCCATACACTACTACTGTCACTCTGTCTGCCCCAGGTCGGGCACCTCCGAGCACAGCCTGGGAGCACTGCACTGGCACTTGAAACCTCAGCAAAAGGACCCTGGC